TTTAATACCGAGAGACACCATTGTTTATTACATACAAATGTATATATTGTAGATGGTGACTTACGTTTGATTTTTTACACACGTGGGCTGTACCATGACGAACGGCTCACTGTTTGCAACCCATGTCATTATATCTGATAGCATGACCTAGCTACCAGTACTTTCACTTGCGGCTAATGGCCTGAGTGGCTGACAGTGTACTCTAAGCAAGTGATTCTGATTCAGAAGTAAAACAGTCCTTGAGATAATATTTTTCTATTAGTATCGTGGTGAAATGCCGGTGAAAATATTAATTAATTTGCTGCCAATTTGCTGACTTCACTGTTCTTGTTCTTTAAATTGTGTGATTCATTCAGTCCGTTTTGTTTACTTTCCTTATTACTTTATGTATATATGTTGCTATACAGTTTATAGTCTTTCATGATAATTTTGTGTTCGCCAAATTGTGCGGGTTCCTCAGTTCGTTATCATTACTTTTTAGTGTCGTACTTTGGCTAAGCTTTGATTTTGGAGGATCGTTCACTTTGTGACTGAACTGAATACAAAAGTTATCCAGTACACACTAAAGATTAGGGGCTAACCCTTTCCTCTGTATTCTCTGAAGGGCTTGTCGTATACAGGCGTCACCTTCTCAGTTTCATGCAGTGACGGCTGGTCCGTTACTGATGCAATTCAACTATGACTTGCTAGTAAGGCAGGCCGTGTGTAGCTCACTTTAGAATAAACACATGTTATTTCAACCATAAGTTGACCCCTGGGGTATCTACAAACGTTTAGTCAATTTCTACTTCATTTCTATTTTAGACTATTTTTTTCTATTTCAGACTACATGTATTTTTTACTATATGTCTCAGCTAAAGTTAATTTGTATGGCTTGTGCAGACTTGATTTCAACCTCCAATCATTATGGTTGTATTTGCAATATTATATCTACCTTACAATTGCTAAAATTGAATCCTACACTAAAAAAACCGTTACCCAGTTTTTTCCACCAGATGCACCATATGAAACAGTTCACTATAATGTTTAGAGGCCACCAAATACGGAATAGTTTAAATCATTTACAACAAAATTGTCAGTCCCTTCCAACCTTCAAAAGATATCTACAAATGGACCTGATAGAGAAGCCATCTATGACTTCTTGATTTGATTTTGTTTGACCCCAAATCTTGTCAATTTAAGTTAATCATAGCTGGCCAAAGTATGATGTATTCATTTATGCTCTTTTATCTCTTTATATTCACAGGTTAACTTCCGCCACGTCCAAGCTGAGATACCGACAGCAGCAGGAAATTATACAAGAAAATTGAAAAAGAAGCATTGAATGCAACAGCATCGTGAAAGCAAAAAAAATTAAAAAATAAAAAATAAGTAAGACTGACACAAACATACATGATAAAAACACACAAGTGAATAAAATCCCTTACACAAAACACTACTATTACATGTATCACACAGTAAAGTTATTTTAAAAAAACGACCAGCATCATATAGTTGAAAGTAAAAACATATTTGAAGCATTATAAGCTTGAATATGCTGCTCCTTATTCTTTCTTATGAGCAACAAAATTTGTTCTTTCTTGACAGAAGATAACATATTTGAAATATCAAGAAAGACAATTAATACTCTGTGTGCAAAAAGCCACAGTTTGCCCAAAAACGTACTATTTGCATGCATGGTAACATAAGCCTTTCCTTCTCGGTCCAAAGACCACATGGCCGGAGGCTACCTCAAAACCAATTCCCCAGGGAATGCATTCGTAAAATTTTCTAAATATTTTCAGCTTGATCGTAATATACTGTAAAAATGCCTCCGCCCCTGAGGCGTCGCCAAAAATATCGACAGAATTATGAAAGCTCTAAATCTAAAATTAAAATTTGCTGAACTTTGCAATGTATGTAACAATCTCTTTAGGCACATTATTATGTTAACAAGTTGTTTATTGCAAATTCATGCCCGAGGGCTAATTGCATACAGACATTGACAAGAAAATTGTGGTGATATAAGATTATTTGCTAACATGAACTTCTACGTGTACGATATACTTATCGAACCTACTATCTCTATTTAAATCTAATAACGTTGGTATACATACAGGATAAAAAAGTAAATATGCATTATGTGTCTTATAAGTGCTTAAAATAAAGCCAAAGACGTACTCAAGCAACTGGATATGATTTCCAAAATCATAACCAGTTGCTTGAGGAACTATTTTTTTGCGTATCTTATTACCTGGATGTCTAACCTTCACCAAAGTGCTTAAAGTAAAGTTGGTTCGACCTTGTATTCTTGTAGCGCTGATGGAAATAGACGGGAACCAAGGTCAGGGTGAGATTGAGCATGAGATACGGGAGCAGCTCCGTGGTCCGCTGGAGGACATCAGTAGACAGCGTCTACGAGCCATGCGTATGGCGCTACGGCGCTACGGGAACGTGGACAGCAGGATATCACAAAAAGACCTTCTGTAAATAATATTTTTGATTTTAATTTCTTGAGAATGGTCATTGTACTTTGAATTTCTTGTAATTATTATGTTTACCGTTTACTGTTTACCGAAGGAAAACATATTGTTTTTGCTCTGTTTCTTCTTCTTCTCCAAACAAATAAGGTCAATGACCTGAACCAGATGTCTGTCACCATGGAAACTAGTGTTGGGTTACATCATGTTGCAATTTTATAGCAGGAGGGATTAAGACTCCTGTCACCATATATATGAATGTGTTTGAGTAAGAATTAACAGAGCAGACCATATGCGAAGGTACACATTATGCATTTGCTTTGCAAATGTTACCTCTCTAGTTTCTTGAGTATTGTCATATTACTTTGAATTTCTTGTAATTATATTTCTCTCTATTCAGTTTTATCTTGACTGTCATTTTCCTTCAGCACTTTCAGTTGGCAAAGAAAAAAATATATAATTGACTTTTAATGTACTGTACCATGAATTGCATTTGAATTTTAATCCTATTTGGGATAATTTTTTTTTGTACTTTATCCTTCAGGACTGTGTTCCAAGAACATGGATTAAAGATTTCCAGTCGCCTCCTGGCTCACATGTTACATCGGTATGAGAACCAGTTTGGGATCGACTATGAGAACATGTGGAAACTCATGTATGATACCCAACACACAACAGGTGAGGGAAACTGATATATGATACCTAACACACAACAGGTGAGAGAAACTGATATATGATACCCAACAGGTTACTAAATGGGAACTCATTTTTGATACCCAACACACAACAGGTGAGGGAAACTGATGTATGATACCTAACACACAACAGGTGAGAGAAACTGATATATGATACCCAACACACAACAGGTGAGAGAAACTGATATATGATACCCAACACACAACAGGTGAGAGAAACTGATATGTGATACCTACACACAACAGGTGAGAGAAACTCATGCATGATACCCAATACACAACAGGTGAGAGAAATTGATATATGATACCCAACACACAACAGGTGTGAGAAACTTATGTATGATAACCTACACACAACAGGTGAGAGAAACTGATATATGATACCCAACATGCAACAGGTGAGAGAAACTGATATATGATACCCAACATGCAACAGGTGAGGGAAACTGATATATGATACCTAACACACAACAGGTGAGAGAAACTGATATATGATACCCAACAGGTTACTATTAGTAAATGGAAACTCATGTATGATACCCAACACACAACAGGTGAGAGAAACTGATATGTGATATCTAACAGGTTACTGAATGGAAACTTATGTATGAAACCCAACAATCATGAGCTGGAATATATTATCACTTAGGGCAAGTTTCATTTGTCTAGAAAGCTGAATGGCTACTACCCTACACTGTCCTTGGTGCTGAATGGCTATCACACAGACTGTATCTCCAGTGTTCTAGCCATGCAGTGTCCAACTTTCAGTCATTTTGACCGAACAAAGTTCATTTTAACAGAATTTTAACCCTTAACACTGATACATTGTAATAACAATATTTTGCTAACTGGTGGGGTTGTGTGGCGCAACAGCAGAGTGCTCGACTCGGAACCAAGATCTCCCGAGTTTGAGTCCTGACCTGTGAAAGGCACTTTACACTATTTTCCTCACTTAGGCCATGTTGATTTGATTATATGGATGACATCCTCTGGGAACCCCAAAACTGATGCGCGCGTGCGAATAAAAAAAAAGTTTTGCAAAAAAAAAGTTGCTTTCACTATGAAATCTACGTGGTCAAGAAGGTGGAACAAATGGCACAGAATATGTTATGGCGAATAATCTACTCTTCGAATTCATTTCTTTACATTTTTGTCCTTTTTCCTTTGATTTTGGCAGTCTACGACATTGGTATCGTTTCTAAATGTTTTCCTTATATTTTTGCTCATTTAGCAACTGTTTTGCACGATTTACAGTATGGTTGAAAACTTTTTTTTTTGGAAACGGCCGAAAATTCATGCGCGCGCGGATGTCATCCATATAATCAAATCAACATGGCCTTAACTCAAGTGAAAATGAGTATTGTTCTGTCTTGTATTTGTTTCTATGTGTGGGACACAACACCAACAACAGCTGCCCACATGTATTGTAGTGCTACAATTTCAATAAATCAAGTCAAATCAAATGAAATCTGACAAGAATTCACTTTTCTTACTCTCAAGGTCGTGACAGTGTCATGGCCAAGAACGCGAGTAATGAGAATAGCAACTCTGATCAGCTGAACCAGTCCTTCCACAACTCTGCTGACCTCAAACTGGTGGAGAGGATCAAGACACAGTTCGCCAAGAGTGGTGACGAGTTTGACCTTGAGGAGTTCCGAGACGAGCTGAAGGTCAGAGACAGAGGGCACACCACCACTCTGTCCAAGAAAGAGGTAAGAAGGCCTGATATTTATGTTTACGTAAGGCCACACCAATTTAATTTCTTGGTTAACGGATTCGCCGCTTCATTTTTTTCTGATTTGCAAATAAAAATAAAAATTCAGAATCAACTGCAAAATGCTCATATTTTGCCCTGAACAGTTGAAAACAGTCCTTTTCTTACTACTTGTTACAGTCATTCCATCTTTCAATGCAGTAGTATCATTAACAGTTCAAAATTCATTGTTTAAATTTTGAACCAGCCTGGTGTGTTGACTTCATGGCTCCTATCGTACCATTTTGGGCCATAATAGGATGCCTAGGCCTGTTTTTATTTTTTATTTTTTTTTCGCCCGCCCGCTCCATTATTTTTGTAGAAAAATCCGTTAACCAAGAAATTAAATTGGTGTGGCCTAAGGAAAACATTGTTTTTGCTCTTGTTTCCTCTTCTTCTTCTCCAAACAAATGAGGTCAATGACCTTAACCGGACATCTGTCACCATGGTAACTGGTGTTGGGTTACATCATGTTGCAATTTTATACCAGGAGGGATACTCCTGTCACCATATTGAAAAAAATATGAATGTGTTTGAGTAAGAATTTTGACAGAGCACACCATATAATATTTAAAGGTAAACATTATGCATATTATGCTTTGCAAATGTTACCTTAAGTTTCTAGTTGTGTTTAGTTTTACTGAGCCGGGCCTTTTGTCTGTTTCCAGCTGAAGAAAGCTGTTGCGGAGATGCAGATCCCAATCTACGGTAACGTCATGAACGCGCTGATGAAGAGATGTGATGATGAGTGCAATGGACAAATCAGGTAGGGTGCAGATACAGATACACTGTACATCAGGGCTCGAAATTCATTTTTGGGAAGAGGTGCACCCAATTTTACTTTCTAAAGAAAAGTACTATAACACTGATTCTATTATTTTTCTGACACTTAGATGTTAAGAATATGCTGTATACTACTACATTTAACATCTTTACATGAAACCTTCAAAATATTTGGGTGCACTGGTGCACCCACAGAAAAAAATTGGGTGCACAGCTCCAAAATCTGGGTGCACTAAGGTGCACATGCACCCAGTATTTCGATCCCTAAACTTGGATAGTCTAAACTGCCTAACTCTAGCCTTTGCACAGAACAAAATGGCAGTTTCATTGACAAAAGTGACAGTTTCTCCTTGTTACCTCCATTGTAAATGAAAGTATTGTTTTTATCGTGTCTATGTGTGTGTCTGTGTGTGTGTTTGTGTTTCTGCACATTTGTAGTCAGCATAACTTCAGAACGCCTTTTTCGATTTTGATGATATTTGCTATGTTGGTAGGTCATAGGAAGACAAAGGTCATGGTGAAATATCCCCAAAAAACATTACATAAACTCTACATATTTCATGGAGGTATGAAATCTCCGAATTCTTGTTGCTTTAACAGTTGGCCTGAGTTCTTGCGGTTCCTGACGGCAGCGAAAGACTCCCTGTTACGCGGTGAGGACGGGACAGATCTGAACGCCTCCGGCTCCAAACTGTGGAACACTGGGACAACCTCCACTAGGACAAGCACCGGGGACGACACTAAGGTTTGTAGTCACTTTTGTTGGTGTCACACTTTCTTATATTGTTACAATTTGTCTCTATGTTAAACTTTTTGTTAGGCCACACCAATTTTATTTGTTGCTTCTCGGATTGCCCTGTCTATTTTTTACTTATTTGCAAAAAAAAAAAATTTCTTTGGTTCTAAATTAACTGCAAAATGCTCAATGAAAGACATATTTTGGCCCCAACGGTTGAAGAAAGTCCTTTTCTTCCTAGTTTTTAAAGTTTTTCAATATAACAATGCAATTTTGTTTCATTAAAAGTTCAAAATCTATTGTTTTAATTATGAACCAGCCTGGTATGTTCACTTTATGGCTCATATTGTAACATTTCTGGCTATCATGGGGTGCGTTGGCCTGTTTTGTTTTGTTTCGCCCTGTTGCTTCTTATTTTTTCTGAGAAACAACAAATTAAATTGGTGTGGCCTTATGTGCAATATGGACGTTTTTGATTTGAGCTATGTGGTCTGTTTCATTGAGTGCAATATTTATTTTTACACCGTGAAACTACCTTTACTGAAATGAAAAAAAGGGCAAAAGTATGATTATTATTAATAATTGAATGTATATTACAAGTCATCCAAAATTGTGGCTAAGCATTGTTAAATTTTGCAGGTTCTTCAAGGATACCATAGATAAGAATAATAGCTGAAAGTGTGTATTTTTGTAAAACGTTCTCTAAATTTGTTAAGATTGTATTTGTTATATCCTTTGTGTGAAAATTGTGTGTCTTACTGTCCTTTTGTGTTCTTCTTTTTGCAAACTTATTTTACAGCGTCGAAAGAAAAGGAAGGTGAATTAAGGATTTCCCAAGAATTGGTGTCACTAAGTCCACTAGTCTATCAATCTATCAATTTTATTGGTTTCTACCACATTTTGACACAGCCTTGTTTGCAGTAGTTGAGAATTATTATAGAGTAGAGGTATGTATGACCACATTCAAAAGGCTTGAATGCCTACTAAACTGTCCTTGGTGCTGATTAGCTATCACAAAGGATAATTGCAATGTGTTCTTAATCATGATTGGCTATAGCTGTTTACACAAACAAGTTGTCCAACACCCTGATTGGCTGATAGTTCAAAAGTATAGCTATTACTGATTGGCTAGCATAGCCTCTCCTTGGTGCTGATTGGCTATCACGAATTGCAATGTGTTCTTACTGATGATTGGCTATTACCACTCAGAAAAGTTAGTTGCTCAAGGCCCTAATTGGCTGCCAAAAAAAGGCCTGATAACTGATTGGCTAGCATAGTCAGTCCTTGGTGCTGATTGGCTATCACCAAAATTAGCCACAATGTATTGTTACTGATGATTGGCTATTACCAGTTACAAGAGCCTGTTGACAATACCCCGAATAAGTGCCAAAGAGTGAATGCTAGTAACATGTATAGTTATTGCTGTTTGGCTTGTATGTCCTGTCCTTAGTGCTGAATTCACCATCACTTCTTTCCGAGCCTGCCTGCATGAATGTGCACCCTCATATCAGCATCACTGCTAGAGGTGTAAAAGAATAGTCATACACTATAGGTGATGGCCAAAAAAGTCATATGTATCTATAGTCTATCAATGCAGGGCTCAAAATTCATTTTTGGGAATGGGTGCACTGGTGCACCCAACCTAAACAATTGGGTGCACAAAACATGTTTTGGGTGCACCATATAAAATAGAATAACTAGAATGTCAGCAATAACTACTAGTAGTTATGTTTCATTTCTAAAGAAAAGTACTACTGTAACAACAATGATTATATTTTTTTCTGACACTTGGATGTTAGGAATATGCACCAATGCACCCAAATATTTTTGTGGTGTTTTTTGTACATATTCAATGTATAATAGTATACAGGATATTCTTGGCATCTAAGTGTCAGAAAAATAATAAAATCTTTGTTGTAGTACTTGTGTAAGATTTTGTTAGTTCCCATTTCAGATTCAAGCTTAGAAGAGAAGCAGTAAGATCAATAATTAATTTGTTTTACATGGTGCGCCCCCCAAAAAATTTGTGCACCTATTTTTTTAGGTTGGGTGCACCAGTGCACCTATTCCCCAAAATGAATTTCGAGCCCTCACTCTCTCTCTCTCCCATAGCTTAGTCAGCCCTGCAATGTAATAAAACTTTTCACAGAAGCCATATGATTTTTATTTCCTTTGCAGAAAATGTCTACAATGTCTTCAGGACCGAGGTTGATAGAGGGAACGCCATATAGCGACTCCCCTCGCCCCTCAACTCCTCAGTCATTGGCTCTGAAACGAAATTCGATGCCGACCCCTAAAGCGAGCTCCGTGTCTCCGCGTAAGGCCAGATCCATGGTTTCGGACACCTTACGCGGTTACGACGGGTCGTCTTCTGGCACTGAAGACAGCAGAAAACGACGAGGTAGGTTTTTATTCATGTCTTTCTTTTTTCAGTTAGGCCACATCGACTTAATTTTATGGATGACATCCTCTGAAGACCCCCAAATTAGTGCGCGCGGGCGAATAAAAAATAGATTCCGGCCAAAAATAAAAAAGTTACTAAACCATAGGAATACAAAGCTGGTAATGTCAATTTGCGGCAGTACATAGCGACGTAAACGACAAGCCGGCACATGCTGGCTTTTTGCGGAATTTATGAATTGGTACTGTACGTACATGTATGTACTGAGTTCTTGAGTCGTGGAGCTTCGGTAGCCTGGGTGCCATCCTCCAGGGTTACCACCGGCTCCGTATTGTCGCTAACTACCATGGACTACCCAGGCTTAGAGCCAGGCCAGAGCCTTGGAGGGCGTGATTTTTTTTTTAGAACAGGCGAAAATCAATGCGTGCGCGGATGTCATCCATAAAAATAAGTCGGTGTGGCCTTATTTAACTCAGGCCCTCACTTGCCCATATTTACAATGAACACAACAAGCACATCACATACTATTTGCGTACAAAGATAAAACAAAAATGAGTGACATGTCGTTTCCGAATGTGGTTTAAATAAGTTGTTAAAGGAAAATAAGTCCGACCTTTTGTATTTGTGGTCAGCATTATTCACTATTATAATACTGTTACCCTATAGTTGGTTGTTATAGTGTAAAAGTCGTATGCAATTTAGTAAACATTTATTGTATAATTATGTATTTGTATATTCTTAAGGTTAGCTCTTCATAATAGCCCTGAGTTTGTTGGGTAACCTATACTGTACATTACCTTGTATGTCAGATGCATTTATCTTTCTAAATTGTTGAATAAAAACTATGATATTACTCTTCAAATATTGTTTTACCATACTTTATTAGTATTGACCTGAAACAACTGTATGAAAATGCAATGTCGTGTATCCCCTGTAACACTGACTAGCCTGTCACTTAAGCTTCAATAATGTTGTCTATAATTTAGAGAATAGTGGTGGAATTTTATATTGTGTATTAAGTGCACTGCACAATGTAATGCATCTGGGTGATTTTGTTTTGTTTTTTCGTTGATTTTTGTGTCTTTGTAGATATTTGTACTTACTCCAGGATTGTTCATAACTGAGTTATTTATAACTTGCACTGTAGAGTTTGGTTCCTTAGATAGTTTAGTTTTCTACTTGTGTTGTAGGATCACCAATAGCTGAAGAAACGCACAGACCCAAATCACCAGATTCACAAACTGGTAAGCTTAATAGAGTCATACTATTAGATACAATAGATATTAATGTACTACACTCAAAACATTTTTTTCCTGCTATGTATTCCTATATGTGAGTGATCACAATCTAGTGAAAACATCAGCCAAGATGTATGAAACTGTCAAACCTTATGTTGTTTGTTCTTGCAAATCTTCCAACTTCTTTGCTTAACTATCTGCATGACAGGGAGAAGAAAGAAGGGAAAAAGAGGTAAATTGTGAAAGAAAAAAAATGGTGGTAGAATAGTGACTGTCTCAGTTTCCAATTGATATGAAGAACTTGTATTGCCATTTGTATAGCTCTTTTTAGATTCAACACTTTTTTCTCATTTATTAACTTGAAAAAAAAATTAAAGACTCAGATTCTATAGTTTGTAGAATTCTTGCAGTGAGCAGTCAACCTAAATTGATAAAAGATTATAGAAATTTGACACTTGCACTTATGTGAAATTAAGATCACAAATCTTTAAAATATCATAGAATATGTAAAACGTTAAACTTTATTTCAACACACAATTCACAGGGATCAAATTTTCAGCGACCACTGTCGCCTTCATCAGGATAATTAATGACCAATCACTTCACAACGTGATCTCGTGAGAATTACGGTTTACAAACACCGTGAAGTGATTGGTCATTAATTATCCTGGTGAAGGCGACAGTGGTCGCTGAAAATTTGATCCCTGTAAACTGTGTGCTGGAATAAAGTTTAACGTTTTACTCTGATTACTACCACAGATGAACTTTCATGATAATCATAAAATATGACCCAAAATAGTATATTTTCTACTAAATACTACCGCTCTTTGCTGACAATATCTGACCTTTGACCTCCCATCATGCCTTGCACACAAAAAGGAAGGAGACTGTCTGAGAGAAACAGTCTGAGACCGTTGTCGCCCAAGCCTGTGTACTATAGACACGGGCCGCGCTTACCTCCACTTCCTACTTCATTTCTGTCTGTCGTTCTCAATGATTCAGGTAACGTCAATACACACTACTGTAACAGTACAGATCTCCATTAACTTCCCTTCAAAAACTGGTACATTTTGTATTTTTTTTTAGCTTATATCTGGCGTCACAATATTTGTTCCTTAGGCCACACCAATTTAATTTGTTCAGAAAAATATGAAGCGCCAGGGCGAAAAAAAAAGAAACTAAAAAAAGGTCTAGGCATCCTATTATAGCCCAAATACAACAATTGTAGCCATGAAGTCAACACAAAAGGCTGGGTTAATATTTAAACATCAAATTTTGAACTTTTAATCAAACCACTGCATTGATAGATGGAAAAACTGCAACAGGTAGGAAGAAAAGGACTTTCCTCAATGGTTGGGGGCAAAATATGAGCATTTTTTAGTTGATTCAGAACCAGAATCTTGTTTTTTGCAAATCAGAAAAAAAATGAAGAGGCGAATCCGAGAACCAACTTATTAAATTGTTGTGGCCTTAAGTTACTTTACAGAGCTGATTGAATGTATGTAAAAATTAGAAGAGCTGTATGGCTGCCAATAAGTACAATTCAAATGTATAGCTATCACTGATTGGCTAGCATGTTAACCTCTCCTTGGTGCTGATTGGCTATCAAGTAGATTAATCACACTGTCTTGATGCTGATGATTGGCTAATACTGCTTACACAAGTTGATTCTGATTGGCTGGTATTGAATGTTTGAGTAACTGAATTTATAGAAGAAAGAGTGCAACAGCCATATATTCCTTTCTTGAGTATAACTGTTACACTGAATGCCTAGCCTGTAATATTGTACCACATCAAGCTTTTATTTCTCACATGAATGCATCCTTTTTTAGCACTGACAGAGCCCAAGCCCCCTCCTGCACCGCAGCCCACCACACCAGCACCCGCCCCAGAGGAGTTGCCAAAAACCAGCCCTCCCCCTGACCAGATCACTGCACAAAGAAAAGACGACAAACCGGCCGCGAAGACCGTTCCCTCGAAAGAAAAGAAACAACCTGCACAGCCGAGCACTGCACCAATCCACCCAACCCCACCGCCGAAAGAAGAGCCCCCTACACCCCCTGTAAATGTTCCAACCCCCTCACCTGCACCTAACCCCCCACAAGAACCCCCTACCCCTACCACCACGCCACCCCCCTCTGACAAACCCTCCTCTGAACCTAACGGAATAGTGCCGGGAAAACCGCCCTTACCTGAAAATTCGACAGAAACAAAAACTCCCAAAGAGAACGGGCAAAAATCTTCTCAACAACGCAAGATTTCTCCTCCTTCACGTGAGAACACCATGGATAAAGAACCCCCACAAAAACGCCCCACAAAATCCGCAATATCACGGAAAAGCGTCCACATCGTTGAAAAAAGGGAGTCTAGCGCGTCCGTTGTAAAAAGACTACCCCCAAAATCTGCCCCACCAAAACGAAGCACGACAGAGGGAAATTTACGAAGAGTTTCGAGTCAGGCAACAAAATCTCAGCCGTCGAAATCGACAGTGGACCTGAGAAAAAATTCCCCCTCTCCGAAAGAGTCCCCACCCACACCAGGGGAGGCGACTCCTTTACCCACCCAACCCCCTCACAAACCCCCACCCCCATCCCCCACATCCCCTCTGCAAATAGCCTCACTTCCATGGTTTCACACTCAGGTACTTGATATTTTACAGATTGACAACAATTTTGTATGTTCAAATTTTACAGTTTTTTTATATAACTTTTCTTTCATTTGTTTAGTCTCCAATTGTTGTCTATAATTGTTAACGTCTTTAATTTGTCCTTTTAATCTTAATTTATTTCATTCATCCTGTTTTGTTTCTTCTCTCTTCATTTATGACATAAATTGATTTTGATTTTTCAGAGGTCCTACAGTAATATGACATGTTATAAACTTGTTACTAACATCACTTGTCCAGTGAAACATTTATTGTGTTTGAGCTAAAGTTTTAACTTGAAACATGTAACTACCAGCCCAGATGAACTTTCGTATTATTAAATAGTATGACAATAAAGTTTTTTCCCAATATTTTCTCACCAGGAGGTTCAGATCTTGAGGCCAGCATGCACACCAGTGCCTCCAACAACAGTCTGGCATCACTCATGTCTAAGAAAGGTAAGGAGCAAAAATTAAGCAGTCCAAACAGTCAATTCACTAAGTTACAATAAGTTGGTTTTGTTTCTCCTTTTTGGTTTTTCTCCTTCCCTCACATGTTCATATGTTTAAATTCAGTTGACTTTATGTACTTTTAAGTTAACTTTATTTACTTTTAAGTTGACTTTATGTACTTTTGAATTTGACTTTATATGCTTCTGAGTTGATTTTATGTACTTTTGAGTTGACTTTATGTATTTTTGAGTTGACTTTTATGTACCAATTATAATATGTACCACTTTAACGTTATATTAAGTCCTTTACTTGATGTCTCCAGTATAACCTTTGATTTGACTTGGATTTTATGTTTTACTTTCTACTTAATATGTTTCAATCATGTGACTTCTGTACTGGTGTCTTATAAGCCCATATGGGCTGGGGGACAATATTGCAAGACACAAATTATAATAAAATTCATAGAGGGGTACATTTGAGAAAAACTTGCACTGAGAAAAAAAAAATTACCACATAAAAGCAGTAGGAAAAGGAAGATAAACAAATTTTTTATCGTTACTAGTTAGCTCAAACTGCAGGATGAATTATATGATGTAGCATTTTCACACAGCCTTTCCGTAATTTTTTGGGTCCATGTATGTTTTGATGCCCTCACAGTTGTAGCATGTTGATTGATTTAACAGTTACTAACTTATATTAACACTCACATGATGATGTAATAATTTTCATTACATAAAATAGCTTCTGAATCAGTATAATTATTTGTTCTTCTTTGAGACATATTGAATGATTTCGTAGCAGCCTCAGAATCTGTTTAAACCATGTTGACTCTTTATACAGTCAAAACTGAAGCTGCTAACCCTTTTTTGCCTGCTAACATTTACAACAACATACTCTAATGTCTTGTTTGTACTGTCTACTAATCAAGTACTGTTACATTATTTCTTTTCAACTGCCCTCTAGTAGTGACTTTCCTTTGTGCCATTTGTAACTGAACTGTAGTGGTCACAAAATACATGATAGTACAATTGGTGAATGGTGTCAATGGATGTTAACAATTTTTACATTTAAGATTGAAAAGTTAAGTTGAAATCACTACTGTAACAGTTAATTATGATACATATTGTGCTGTAACTTACTCTGAGAACAGGATGGCAGATCAAATTTTTTCAACAAAAAAATGCAAAGAATGAAAGCTAAGAATTCTTTTCATCCTGTCAGGATGTAATCCTTTAATTTTCTTTTTTTTTCAATTTGATATTCTCAAAGATATTACACATAGTATTAAGTATTTCTGAACAATGACTCACTGTAAAAAGTCTCAAGTAATTCAACCTTCTGCTGCAAGTGTTTTTACCAATAAACCAGTAATGCTTACTTAACATGGTGCTGCCCAACTTTGATCAGGTGGAAACTCCTCACCAGATGTTTCTGATAACGATCAAGCTTCTTCGCCTACGAGAAGTTCCAGGCTTGTCAGGATGGGAAAGGCGGTCGCAATGGCGGAGAAAGCGAGGTCGGGTCACGGAGCACGGAGTCTGTTTTCACCCGCAAGCAGCGCGGCTGGGAAGGCGGTCGCTTTTGCGGACGGGACGAAGTTGAGCGATGGTGGAAGAAGCCCGCAAAGTGGCAGGAAGATCAGCATGGCGACCGCAAGAAAAGCGGCCATGTTTGGTCAGCGGCCCTCCTCACAAATGAGTGACTCGGAGACAGAAGCCTCGGATCAGGCGCTCCCGAGTTTAAACGCCGGCAGGAGGGTGATGGCTTTTGTTGGAACAGCCAAGCAGAAGAGGCAGGACAGAAGCCCGAGTCCAGGAGAGAGAAGCCAGAGTCCTAAATCCAGGGGGATACAGTCGGCTGGCAGAAGAGCCATGATGCTAGCAGGCAAGGGAAGAGGAGGATCAGCTCAAGAGGCAATCTCAGATTCAGAAGATGCTTCTGGATTAACTAATAAACAAAAGATTAAGCTGGCTCAGAAAGCTATGGCGTTGTCTCCTGTTAAAGGTGAACGTCCAAAGTCTCCATGGCTGACAAAAGTTCAAAGCAACGCATCAGAAGGAAAGGATTCTAAAGAGAGTGAGGAAGGAAGTGGCAAGAAGAGTCCTAAATTAGGCACGATGAAGAAGATGCAAATAATGGGTAAAGTAAAAAATGTTGGAAAAGAAAGTTTAGATTCTAAAGCAGCAGAAAGTGAGGAAGAAAATCAAGAAAGTGGCAAGAAAAGTCCAAGATTAGGCACAATGAAGAAGATGCAAATAATGGGTAAAGTAAAAAATGTTGGAAAGGAAAGTTTAGATACTAAAGCTGCAGAGAGTGAAGAAGAAAATCAAGGAAGTGGCAAAAAAAGTCCTAGATTGGGCACAATGAAGAAGATGCAAATAATGGGTAAAGTAAAAAATGTCGGAAAGGAAAGTTTAGATACTAAAGCAGCCGAAAGTGAGGAAGAAAATCAAGAAAGTGGCAAGAAAAGTCCTAGATTAGGCACGATGAAGAAGATGCAAATAATGGGAAAAGTAAAAAATGTCGGAAAAGAAAGTTTGGATTCTAAAGCTGCAGAAAGTGAGGAAGAAAATCAAGGAAGTGGCAAGAAGAGTCCTAAATTGGGCACAATGAAGAAGATGCAAATAATGGGTAAAGTAAAAAATGTCGGAAAAGAAAGTTTGGATTCTAAAGCAGCAGAAAGTGAGGAAGAAAATCAAGAAAGTGGCAGGAAAAGTCCTAGATTAGGCACGATGAAGAAGATGCAAATCATGGGAAAAGTAAAAAATGTCGGAAAGGAAAGTTTAGATACTAAAGCTGCAGAAATTGAGGAAGAAAATCAAGAAAGTGGCAAGAAGAGTCCTATAGGTTCAATAAAGAAGATGTCATTGATGGGGAAAGTAAAAATGGTAGGAAAGGAAAGCTTAGATTCTAAAGCTGAAGAAGACCCTGAAGGCAAGCAAACTGAAGAAAACAAAGGGAAAGTCAGCCTTGCTTCATCCATGAAAAAGATGTCTTTGATGGAGAGAATGAAGGCCGGACAAAAAGAGCAACAAGTCACTGAGGCATCAGACAATAAGGAAGATGACACAGATAAAGATGGCAAAGAAAAATTGTCCCTCTCTTCGTCCACAAAAAAGATGTCATTCATGGCAAAAATGAAGGGCGGAGGAGCTAAGGAACAGCAAGAAGATAAAGAAGAGAAAGACGCTCCTACAAAAGGAGCTGGGGAGAAGAAAAGTCTTACTACAGCAACCAAGAAACTTTCGCTTATGGAGAAGCTGAAGGGTGGTGGAAAGGAGAGTGAAGATTCGGAGGCACCAGGTACCATCCTGTCCACCTAAACAGCACCTAACACCGAATTTTCCTAATTTGCACTAACTGGTTGCGACTCCTTCACCTCAGTGGCTTTTCCTTTTTTTTTTCAAGAATCACGGGTGGATATTTTTTGTGTGCAAAGATGATGATTTTCATCACTTTTGAAATGTATGTCACTAAATGGTTCAGTGTAATATGTTAAAATCACTCCGACATGGGATCTAGTGCTGTTACTGTAGTAAATGATATTTCTCCAGTAACTGAACAAATAACTATCTAGATCTTATGCAGGACTCAAAACTGCCATTACTTTTTCATACTTCATAGGTGGTAACAGTGCTGTGTACTGGTTCACTGGCCTTGGATTCGGACTTGTACGAATGTTTAGGTTCAAGTCCAAAAAAAACTAAAATTCAAGAACCGAGTCCGGACTTATTACCTTAAAGCACCATTTCACATACCCCTTTTCTTTCCAAACCACCTAAAACCATCCGTAGATCGCAAAATCTTTGCTGCAAAATGAAGGAAGAAACATCGCCATCGGGCATCGTAAAGTACCGGCCTCCATGTTATTTGGCCACAGTTTTGCCCAAACAACATTGCAAGGTTGCCAACATGCTATTTTGTATATGCCATGGGTTTAGGTCTGGACTTACAAGTCTGGAACTGAACCTAAACCTCTGGACTTGAATCCGGACCTGAACCTAAATGTGGGTTTAGGTACATGTACACAGCACTAGGTGGTAACAGTCAATGCAGCAAATAAAAATCCATATACACTTACAGTTTGTACATATGTACCTGGAAGTATATGGGCCAGACTGAGTGCTGGAAAGGTGCAGGTAGACATAAAAATACCTGCACAGCTCCAACTTTGTCTGCACTTCACACTGTTTTAAACACATTGGTGTTGTCCTTGGTGCTGAAACTGTTGTAAGAGTCAATGTTCACCTGTGTGAAAGTACACATTTCACAGCACGTGAAGCATTTCTATGGTTTAAAATGTGTTGCACAGTGTGTAAGCCATTATATTCTCTCAGTTTACTGTGTACTTGTTTAGTTCACATCTAAAACGAATGAGTTACATGTAAGATGATAGGTTGAGGGAAAAATCTCGCTGAAATTTCCTGAATATCTTTGTACCGTGTTTATATGTATGCCCCATAGACCATTCACAGCAAATATTTTAATCTATAAACTTATGTTAAGTTTTTCAGACAAACGTAACTACTTATAAACCAAATGCCACTTCCTCTACTTATAATTTTCTTCTCATAATTTCATCCTTTTGTGTTAGTATTTAGGCCACAGCAAGAAACTTTTATGGATGACATCAGCGCGCTTTGATTTTTGGCTGATTTTGGAAAAAAAAAATTTGTTGCCCTGCGACGGTGGTCAACAAGCCGAATATGTAAACAAAGTTTATGATATCAAAATTTGAAAATGTAGGGACCTTGTTTTTTTTTGCCTGTCTTGTTTTTTTTTCCCTATCGCATTAAATTTGGAGTCTGCGAAGAATGTCATCCGTTAGATTTACTTGCTCTGGCCTTATTTACTTATTTGTGTTTGACCTAAGAATCTTTCCTCTTTCTAACTAACACCAGGGGACAGAAGGCCCTCCCTACCAAGACTGTCTTCTTCCAGAAGTCTAATAAGCATGTTGGACTTTCCTTGTACGTAACTGAGTGGCCAAAACAGTTTGGCATGCAGTGGCTAACCATTAAAAATCATAACTGTTACAGTTGAAGGGGAAAAACTAAATGATTTGAAATTCCTGATTGCATCTTTTGATAAAAATTTGCCTCTTATGATTTTTCGAATGATTATGTCACGGTTTGTTGCAATATAGTTAAAATCTTGTAGTTTCTCATTGTACAGATCAGACAAATGATTCAACTACTATTAATTTTCATTTAAAAACAAACAAGCAGCAGCCAGGTTGTTAGTATTATTTCAAAATTTTAGTCTGTAACCTAATGTCTTTGTGTTGTATGTGCCCTATATCCTCTATTTGAAGCCGTGTAGTTACATGAATGTTAAGTTAAATGCTTTCTCCACTATTTCAGTTACACCTGCTGAAACTTCAAACCAAAGTGACACTCCAGAGGTTAAAGAAGAGGAAGGTAAGATTTTTAATAACAAACTTCTACAATTGATCCCAATTTCTCTAAACTTACAGACAAAGAAAAACTATAATTCTTCTTTTAACTAGTACCCAAAACCCACAAAATATGTCTTCCATGGTTTACAAAAGAGAAGTCAAACCCTTCAGACATAGTTTTAAACATAGCTTAGATAATATAAGAAATTACCTTGTGTTATTATGTAGATTTTTAAGTTATTTTGTACTCTGTTTCAATGCCCTTTTTGTTATTTACAATTAGCCTTCAGGCAGGAATTTGTAATAAACTCATCATTTAATAAGAACTCTTCCCTTACATTTGGTAACTAACAGTAATACAGAATTGTTTCAACCAGAAACTTTAAACTAGCTACAAAAAACATCTTTCTCCTATGCAGAAATAAATAAATATCAATATGTCTTACAGAAGCCAAAACCCTCACAAGAAGGGAGTCTACCGTGACCATTACATCTGTCAACATGTCAAATAAAGGTAAGCTTTAGGGTAAATCTATTAAAACATATTTTACATATTCAACATCAACTCATAATTTTGCTGGGTACAACAAGATCACCATATTTATTTATTTATTCATGTATTTATTCATGAAGATTTACCACATTTGTGGAAGAATTGACATAACAGGTGACTATCATCTCTTCAGAGATGTCAAACCTGAGACCAGACTGTTAGGTTTGAACCCCGGGAAGGTCCCCTACTCTTTTTGATAAGTGTGGTGGGTTCTTTAACGTGTATGGGGAGTGGCTCTCCCAAACACAGGGCCTCCATTTAACGTCCTATCCGAGGGACGTCCTATCCGAGGGACGTCCTATCCGAGGGACGTCCTATCCGATGGACGTTTCTAACTGAAGCAAGGTACTTAATAATATTTACACCTGAGTGAAGTGAGGAAAGTCCTGTAAAGTGCCTTTCCCAAGGGCACAAGATTGGTGGCATCGGGTAGGATTCAAACCCGGGACCTCATACAAAACATAACGTATGTTTGAGCTTACTGCTTTATTTTTTCCAGATGAAGAGGCTCCAAAAAAGAAGGGAATGTTCGGGTCGATGAAGAAGTTTTTTGGTTCCAAGTCGAAACCCAAGAAGGAAGAAATCCCCATAGAAACCATCAAGGAGCCAGAGAAACCCAAGGAACCAGAAGGTAAAACAGAAAAACTCAAGCAACGTCCAAAAAGATTGGATAACTTAAGACATCATGCCCGTAGCCAGGATTTTAAATGGGGGGTTCTGCCCACTTCTTGAGGGACCATCGAGTACTGAAGGCACGAGGTTCCTATAGGGGGGTCCAGGGGCATGCTCCCCGGGAAATTTTGAAAAATGAACAGCTGAAATGGCATTTCCTGCGTTTTTTAGAGGATTTCAAAGAAAAAATCAGAGTTAACTTTTTCCAATGACAAAGTGAGCAGTTTTTCTACGATTCCAGCCTCGCTGGTGACACAAATCAGTCCATCTTTTAATAAAGAAAAATCTTGGACCTTTAGATAAAAAGTGGACCAAAAAGTGGACCTTTGAGCCTTGTGGGGGGGTTTGCCCAAACCGAATGGCTACGGGCATGGACATTTCTGTGATTCTGCAAGAATTAAACTGTTTCAAAGAGTCAAATTATGAGAAGAAATTTTCCTACTTTATTGCTGTTTGCATACATAGAGTGTTTGTCAATATTTGTTAGAGAGTAGGTAAGAATAAACATTTTATTTCAATATTAATGCTGACATAAAGAATGTTGGATCTTGCTTTGTTCTTTCATCTAGCCTAGCAAAGGACAACAAGGATCAATGGAGATTTTGTGCCAAATACATTCCTTTTTCGTGTAGACCAGATCTAAAACAAATTGGTGCAGAAAATATTTAAAATTGTGAATAGGAAAAGAAACTTTTTCAAAATTCAGTAAGTATCTACAGTCATTTTGATGCACCATATTTTGCACATCCTCAGGTCATAAGTGAATTGGTACTAAATATTAATAAATATGACACATTCACTGGGTGTATAAAAATCACCGATCAATTTTTATAATCATGATGATAGGTCTATGGTATTGGTGTCTAATGACAACTTTTTTTGACTCCCTAACTTCACAATAAGATTAGAAATGTTCAAAATTTGGTGTTTATGAAGCTTTCACCTTACAGCTTAAAATGACAAAAGTTTTCACTACTAACTTTTTGGTGATAAAGAAATATCTGGGATCAGCAAGATTTAAAAAAAGGGTTCTGGTTCCGGATCAACTAAAAATGCTCATATTTTACCCCCAACAGTTGAGGAAAGTTCGTTTTTTCCTAGTTCTTACAGTTTTTCCATCTATTAAAACAGTGGTTTGATTAAAAGTTCAAAATTCATTGTTTAAATATAAACCAAGCTTTTTGTGTTGATTTCATGTCTCCTATCTTTTTTTTTGCCCTGTCGCTTCATATTTTTTATGAAAAAATCAGAGAACCAACAAATTAAATTGGTGTGGCCTAACGTGTGTGTCTGTAACTCTCCACAGTCCCCCCTCCCGATGGTAAACCTGTGACAGTGAACATCAGAGGGACAGACCTGGATGTGTACATACCGGACAGGTACTGGTGCAGACCCGTCAATCACAAATACCCGGAACACAAGCTCAGTCTGGACTGGGTGTAAGTATGACACTATAATGTTCGGTGTATCATCATACATAAAAAGCTCCTGTTCCAAAACAACAGGAGCCTTTGACTAATCTGCATCATCCTTGTCTTGACTTAATGTCTAGCTTTTGTTTTCTTTTGGACTTCCAAAAAAAATTGTCTTCACTAATTTGCATATCGATCAATAGTTCGTGCTTATAAACCTGCATTTCTCTTGAAGTCTCTTAGTGTCACTGATGAAAGGTAGTGGATGCTACCTGAAACGTCTGACTGTTTCCAAAATCATACCCAGTTGCTTGACTACAACTATCCATGCAGTGGTTTGATTAAAAGTTTGAAGTTCATTGTTTGAATTACAAACCAACCTGGTATGTTGACTTCATGGCTCCTATCATAGCATTTGGGGCTATAATAGGATGCCTTAAGGCCAGTGTTTTTATTTGTTTATTTTTTTGCCCTGTCGCTTCATATATTTTTTTAAAATCTGAGAACCAACAAATCAAATTGGTGTGGCCTAAAAAAAATTGATACACTGTCCATGTCTTACAGGTATGGTTACAGAGGCAATGACTGCAGGAATAACCTGTTCCCATTGGCCAGCGGGGAGGCAGTATACTTCACTGGGACTGTGGCAGTTATCTACGACCATTTACAGTGTAGACAGAGACACTATATGGAACACACGGGGGAAATCAGGAGGTGAGAACATCTCATTGTCATCGATTTTCAATAAATCAAATTGGTTAATTTCACAAGCACAGTCAATACAATATTCAGACGCAGTGCCTGATGCCACCATGCAGCCATGGCCTGAATTGCAGGACATTGTACAATTCACATTGAAGTCATAAACAGTAGTGTCTGTATCCAATGCTAGGGTAGAGACTAGAGGATAGAATTGCAGATTCTACTGGTAGAGAAGCTTCATTGACAGAGACTCCAATCAGGATAGCTGATTAAAACACTTGGTTGTGGAAAAAAGAGTCTCTTTATTCAGTGACTTACCAACAAGATGAAACTATTTACGGACTAATTAACATTTTACCTTTTCCCCTCTCGTAGCATTGCTGTCCACCCAGACAAGGTGACAGTGGCTACAGGCCAGAATGAGGTGCAGTATGACTCCTACTCTCAGGTAAGGATGGTCCACTCACTCACTATCCGGTTCATGTCTGTATGTATACAATTGTTCCCCGTCTTCCGAGGGTTAGACATGCTTGCACACTGATGCTGAGGCTTGATGGCAGCTCGCCACTTGCCTCTATCCTGTGGGTTGACATTATGTAGGTTCAAGTGGTGGAAGTCCCCCCTTATGTTGTCAAACCATTTCTTCTTTGGTCGACCACGAGGGTTTGGTCCTTCCACATCCAGTGTGAGGATGTTTCTAGGCCATTTGTTGCTGTCCATTCTTTGGAGGTGGCCATACCATCTTAGTCGATTAGATCTCACTAGATCACACACCAGCTTCGCAGGCACGCGGCGCGGCGGCAGCTGGCTATATTACACCGATCGACTTGTTACACCTAACCCTAGGCCTTGAACTTCTAGCTCTAGACTTTGTTTAAAGCTATCTATTGACAATGCCCCTACTGTACTTGGTGACAGTGAGTTCCACTCTGCGATAGTTCTAGGAAAGAATGAATTCTTGAACACCTCAATCCTTGGTTGATAACTCTGGTACTTGAAGGCATGGCTATTTCTTGTTCTCTTCTGGGCTGGTATTAGGTACTTAGTAGTTGGGACATCCACCAGTTTATTAGTCATTTTGTACATCATACATAGTCTGGACATTTTTCTTCTGTTTTACTCTAAAGTAAAAACACTCAATGAGATTGTATCTGTCCCATGAGTGGTCTTCATGCAATGATTTTCTTTATCTTGATACATTTTCTTCTTTTCTTTGTATGTAGGCACATATACGGATCTGGGACTCCAGAACGCTTCAGACCCAGAAGGTGCTGGGAACAGGGGCCTTGGAGAAGGCAGTCATCGCCTTGGCATTTTCAGGGACACTGGTAAGACTTAAAGAAAATGGTTTTCAGGGTGAAAAGATTTTCCATACATCAAGTTTACAAGGCCACAGCAAGGCCACAGCAAGTAATTTTTATGGATGACATCAGCATGCACATTTCACCTGATTTTGGGAAAACAAAAACAAGAAATTTTGTTGCCTTGCCGGAATGTGGATGGCAGATAACTATGAAGAGAGGAGACAAGAAAAGGCTCTGATTTAATGTTTTGTTTCTTACTTTGATGCAGTGATATGTGATGCTGGCTGTGTATATGTGATGTTCCCACTGAATCAAAACCATTTGTACAATGATTGAGTCCAAATTTTAAAATGTAGGAACCTTGTTTTTTTCACCTGCCCGCATTAGATTTGGAGTCTGCAGAGGATGTCATCCATAAAATTTACTTGCTGTGGCCTTATGTAAAGAAAGAAACAGATACATGTGGAAATAAATTATGTATATTGAAGTATACAATGTACATGTAAGGTTACTATATTTTGTGTCTTCCAGGACCGACTGGCTGCTATTGACAGTAGTGAGGGTCACATGATGTCAGTATGGGACATCAAGTCAGGGAAGAAACTCACTGAAGCACAGGTAAAGGTAATGCTTTTTTGTGATATTCCTGCCTCTTTCAGTTTGTATGTTTTGTTTTGTATCAAATCTTTGCTGTTGTAATAATTTATATCAAATCTTTGCTGTTGTAATAGTATATAACAGCATTCTGAGTACCTAGCTTTGGTATGGTTTGATGGAATGTAAAGCTGGAGGTCCTGTGTTTGAGGAGAGCCAAATCTCGAGCATGTTAATCAATTTATACTTATCAAAATAGTAGAGGACCTTTCTAGTGAAAGTGGTTCAAAACCCTACAATCCTATGGCCGCACTTACATGTAGTGCTGTGTACCAGTTTGCTGGACCAGTTCCAGACTTGTAAAAATTTGTTTAGGTTCAAGTAAAAAAAAACCTGAAAGTCAAGAACCGATTCTGGACTTTAAAAAAAAACTATGTCACATACCCCTTTTCTTTCCAAACCACCAAAAACCTTCCATAGATTGCAAAATCTGTGCTGAAAAATGAAGAAAACATTGCCATCTGGCATCCTCAAGTGTCGGCCTCCATGTTATGTGGCCAAAGTCTTTCCAAAACAACATTGTAAAGCTGCCAACATGCAATTTGTATATGCCTTGAGGTTAGGTCCGGACTTACGAGTCCGGAACTGAACCTAAACCTCTGGACTTGAATCCAGACCTGAACCTAAATGTGGGTTTAGGTACAAATGTGGTTACATGACTTAGCGCCAAAAGGCAGCTCACCAATTGTAAGAGTTACCCCTGGCTTACACACAATTAGAGAGCAGCCAGCCCACTCCATAACAATAAAAACATATTGTTTTTCAGGTTGGTACAGAGGTGGTGTGTCAGGTTGGGTTCAGCCCCAGGAGTCCAGACACAGTAGTGACAGCAGGGAAGGAACACCTGGTCTGGTGGGAGTTAGGTGTGGAGACAGGCACTCTACAGGAGGTGGCCAGGGCTAACTATGATGTAAGTATTATCACAGCTCATTATTAAAATTGTATGCCATGTTTTGTCTCATTTCATGTATATTCTTTAGGCAACCCAAACTTCAGCACCAAGGACAAGTCAAATATTAGAAACTGTATCAGCAAAACATGCCACATTTTAAATCCAATAGCTCAATCAGGAGGAGTGCTTATTTTGTAATAGAAGGTTGTGAGTTCAAAACCTGGCCGGGTCATACCAAAGTCTTTAAAAGTGGTACATACTGCTTTCTCTGCTTAGCACTCAGCATGTATGAAAAAGAGTATGGGAAGGTCAAATACATAACACTACCAGCAGGCTAGCCCCCTTCTCTGTAGACCAAGGGCTACAGAAATGGAGTTGGGCTCCCCCTACGGAATGGAACAGCATTATGCTCAGAGAGTGACTGTTATGACATGTCTGTGTTGATCTTGAAAGTTCATCTGTGTTGCTAGAAGTCATTATGAAACAAGTTTGAACTGATTTTGAAGCTCATTTCTTGACAAAACTGGAGTTGTACAGTTGAAGATTTGGGTGAGTCCAACTTTGTTGTATTGGCAATTGCAGTTCAAACTCGTTTCATAATGTATGTCTGTGTGTTTGCCTTCTGGGGGAAAAAGTCTGCCGTCATGTCTTATTACGTTGTTTTCTGTGGTCTCATAGCAACGGTACAACAAGGCGAAGTACATCATCTGCTTCCTGCACAACGACCGCGGTGATCTGATCACAGGGGACTCCAACGGGACAGTGTTCGTGTGGGGAGAAGGTTTGTTTGTTTGTTTTTGCACGTACAAATAAAACAAACTTGAAAGGTAACATTTGCAAAGCAAATGCATAATGTTTACCTTTGCATATGGTCTGCTCTGTGAATTCTTACTCAAACACATTCATATATATGGTGACAAAAGTCTAAATCCCTCCTGCTATAAAATTGCAACATGATGTTCCCCCAATACTAGTTACTATGGTGACAGACGTCTGGTTCAGGTCATTGACCTTATTGGTTTGGAGAAGAAGAGGAAGAGGAAACAGAGCAAAAACAATATGTTTACAGAAAATTTCATGTTTGTGAATGATTGAATCATAGCAAAGTTCTTTATTCAGAACCACTTGTTTAACAAGAGCCAATGTTTTGATGACCATCTGTCATCTTTGTCAATGCAATTATTGCTGTTTAACTGTACTCTGAAGCTAGCTCTTGTGTGTTTTTTCAAAGGTGGAAACTGCATAACACAGGCTCTAAAGCACATTCATGAGGTATGTCATAATCTTCTTCACGCACAAAAATATATACATATCTAGGTACATGTCCGATAATCACACTGTCTTACAACTTTGATAATTCGAGTTAGGTTTTAATCATTTTACACAGTTCCTGGTGTGCTTTTTGTTCATACTAAATGTATCCTCCGACTAAGCCACATTGATAAAAATGCTGTTATCATTGGTCAATGCTAACAGGCCAATGTTTCAAATATGAAATAACAAAAAACATAAGCTAAGAAATGACAGTAAAGATCTATATTATATTTTCTCATCCTGAATGTTTTTATTGCCCTGAAATTGCATTGATGCCTGTAACTGAAACAGGATTTTTTTTTCCCTCCAGGGTCCGGTATTTTCTCTTCTGATGATGAAAAATTTCCTCCTGACGGCCGGCAGGGATGGGATGGTGTACGCCTTCCCATGGGGGAAAAACATGGAGCACATGGGCTTCTCCGCTAGTTTACAGGTAAACAACAAACAAACAAACAAACATGGAGCACATGGGCTTCTCCGCTAGTTTACAGGTAAACAATAAACAAACAAAACATGGAACACATGGGCTTCTCCGCTAGTTTACAGGTAAACAACAAACAAGAAAACAAACATATAAAACATGGAGCACATGGGCTTCTCCGCTAGTTTACAGGTAAACAACAAACAAGAAAACAAACATATAAAACATGGAGCACATGGGCTTCTCAGCTAGTTTACAGGTGAACAACAAACAAGAAAACAAACATATAAAACATGGAGCACATGGGCTTCTCAGCTAGTTTACAGGTAAACAACAAACAAGAAAACAAACATATAAAACATGGAGCACATGGGCTTCTCAGCTAGTTTACAGGTAAACAACAAACAAGAAAACAAACATATAAAACATGGAGCACATGGGCTTCTCAGCTAGTTTACAGGTAAACAACAAACAAGAAAACAAACATATAAAACATGGAGCACATGGGCTTCTCAGCTAGTTTACAGGTAAACAACAAACAAACAAACAGGTACATGTACCATGGGAAAAAACATGTACCGGTGAACAACAAAAAAATAAACATGTACCATATATGCCTTCCCATGGGCTTCTCAGCTAGTTTACAGTTAAATAACAAACAAACAAACAAAACATGGAGCACATGGGCTTCTCCGCTAGTCTACAGGTAAACAACAAACAAACAAAACATGGAGTACATGGGCTTCTCCGCTAGTCTACAGGTAAACAACAAACAAACAAACAAAACATGGAGCACATGGGCTTCTCCGCTAGTTTACAGGTAAGCAACAAACAAATAAACACACAAAACATGGAGCACATGGGCTTCTCCACTAGTCTACAGGTAAACAACAAACAAACAAACATACATACAAAACATAGAGCACACAAGCTTCTCCGCTAGTCTACAGGTAAACAACAAACACATAAAAATTGGAGCACATGGGCTTCTCCACTAGTCTACAGGTAAACAACAAACAAACAAATATGTCTTTTCATGGTGAAAACACTGAGCATTGGATGCCTTTAAGATTATGTTCATGTATTTATGGAATGAACAGATGATATATCAACAGATTTTCCCAGCCTGTATTGTCCTTGTATTCTGAAGGTATTCTGTATTGAGAATACTGTACATGTATTCTCCCAGGTCCCCAGAATAGAAGGAGGGATCAGAATGCAGTGTGTAACAGGAGATGGATCCGTGTTACTCCTGGGCACAACTGTGAACTCCATCCTGTCTGTCAGTCTGACTTCAGCAGGATGTCCACTACTGGGCGCCTCACTAGACAAGGATGTGGTCACACAGGTAATATGTTTATTTATAAACCTATTAACAACACTGTCCCTGTCCCTGGTGCTGAACACTTTCCACACTAACAACACTGTCCCTGTCCCTGGTGCTGTACACTTTCCACACTAACAACACTGTCCCTGGTCCTGAACACTTTCCACACTAACAACTGTCCCTGTCCCTGGTGCTGAACACTTTCCACACTAACAACACTGTCCCTGGTACTGAACACTTTCCACACTAACAACTGTCCCTGTCCCTGGTCCTGAACACTTTCCACACTAACAACACTGTCCCTGGTCCTGAACACTTTTCACACTAACACTGTCCCAGGTGCTGAACACTTTCCACACCAAGAACACTGTCCCTGTCCCTGGTGCTGTACACTTTCCACACTAACAACACTGTCCCTGGTGCTGAACACTTTCCACACCAACAACACTGTCCCTGTCCCTGGTGCTGAACACTTTCAACAACAACACTGTCCCTGTCCCTGGTACTGAACACTTTCCACACCAACAACACTGTCCCTGTCCCTGGTGCTGAACACTTTCCACACTAACAACACTGTCCCTGTCCCTGGTGCTGAACACTTTCCATGGTAACACTACTGTCCATGTTGATTTTTTTCCAGGTTAAAAATGTGTTGGTTGGTTATTATAATATAATTATATTTTGTTCTTATGATGTTGCAGTTTTAGCTAATGGTTATTTTCTTGCTCCATAGGGTCATTTTGATGACGTGAAGGCCATTTGCCCCCAGCCTTCCCATGCTGCCCCTGGGCAGTTTCTGACAGCAGGGAATGATGGGACAGTCTGTATGCACGACTCTGACTCCCACAGTCTGCAGTGGAAATATGTCATCAAGGTATGCAGCAGGTTTTCTGTATCTATATAGCCGGTATAACCGCCCTTCGGCGTAACACACCAGCTTCGCAGCTACACAGTGCAGCAGCAGCTGGCTACAGTACACCAAACGACTTGTTACACCTAACCATTGAACATCTAACTCTAAACATTGTTTAAAACTATCTAATGATAATGCCCCTACTGTACTTGGTGACAGCGAGTTCCACTCTGCGATAATTCTAGGAAAGAAAGAGTTTTTGAACACCTCAATTCTTGCTTGATAACTCTGGTACTTGAAGGCATGACTATTTCTTGTTCTTTTTGGAGCTGGTATTAGGTACTTAGTAGTTGGTACATCCACCAGTTTATCAGTCATTTTGTACATCGTGCATAGTCTGGACATTTTTCTTCTGTCTTCCAGTGACCCCCACTGTAGGTTTCTTTTAATTTCCGTGACACTAGCACCCCTTTCATAGTTGTTCAGACAGAATATTGCAGCTTGGTTCTGTGACTTTTCACAGTAGCTGATATTATACAATCTCTTACTGTCAGCGGCTGTCAGAACCCTCCCATTTACATGAAGACATGGAGACAATTTTTATACTGTTGTATCTACATGTATTTTCTGTTTTTCAACCAGGGAGCGACTATCCAGTGTGCTGACTTTTACCACCCTGGGAGTCTACCTAGAGTTGCTTTGGGAACAAAGGATGGCAGGTACTGTGGACAGAAACTTAAAAACAGAAGTTAGAACATTAAATTATTGATGAACTATCCCAAAAAGGATAAGAATTTGTACACAACTGAATGTACATATTGAGATACATAAAAGATTTCATGCTTCGTAGAAATAAGTTTTGTTTTGGAGATATTATCTTTTATTTATTATAATTGTGAAGTTCTCTCCTGGGATCTAACTTCCTTCTGGGCTACATCAAGTATCAAATGTGCTAAGAAATGGCAGTATTTTCTCCTCCAGAATACTTTTTATTCCCCCTCCCCCGAACTTGCATTTAAACAAAACATTATTGCACGACAATTGCACATGGTACAATGTATGGCAAACTACATAAAGAGAGTAACAACAATAAACTAAGTGTGTTGAATAAGACCTAATGTCGAATAAAACCTAACATATCTATATCATAATCATTCAAATAATAAGGGAAGTCTTTGATAAAGTGTAACAATCGAGTGGGCTAATCACAAGTTTCGGCATTTTTTCTAATAGCAAAGCATTCCTTTATATATCTACTTATTTTTGCGTTGTGGGGACCGTTACATGTAAAGATATATTCAAATCTGTCTCCAACAACGAGACTCTTAAAATCTATGGTACTTGATTCGAGAAATGTAAATAGCTTGTTGAGTAGAATATTTGGTACATTCCATAACAAAATGAAGTTCATTTTCTACATGCTTTGGACAAAATGGACAGAACTTTTGGTCAATGGTTTGTAGGTTTAAATTTGTAAAGCTGGTGCAGTTCCTAGCACGGACAGTAGGAGGCACTTCTGCAATGTGCTGTATCTGATGATGTGTTCATTTCTTCCAGTGTGATAGTGCTAGAGGTGAATGACATGGACGAGGTGTCAGAGATGTGCAGGGCCAGCAAAACTGCTAGGGGGCGCATCACAGTCATCAAGATATGTCCAGGTACTGGGGCTTGTTCTGGTTAAGGCCCCACCAATTTGATTTGTTGCCGCTCAGATTTTTTTCAGAAAAAACATGAAGCGACAGGGCGAAAAAAAAAATGAAAGCAGACCTAGGCATCGTATTATAGCCTCAAATGCTGTGATAGGAGACATGAAGTCAACATACCAGTTTGGTTTGTAATTCAAACAATGCGAATTCAAACTTTTAATGAAACCACTGCATTGATAGATGGAAAACTATAACAACTTTGAAGAGAAGGGACTTTTTCAACTGTTGGGGCCAAATTATGAGCATTTTGATGTTGATTCAGAGGCTGAATTTTAAAATGAGTTGAGGACTGCCATTACGCCACACGACCCCACATTTTTTAACACTTGACTGGCATTTTCTGCAGATGGAGAGAGGATAGCGGTTGGTTGTCAGGACGGTTCGGTGCAGATCCTGCAGCTGACGGACTACTGCAGCAAACTGGAGCTGCTGGGGAAGTGCAAAGGTCACAAGGGCGCCATCACCGGTCTGGACTGGTCAGCTGATCTGCCCACGGGAGGGTACATCATTCAGACCAGCTCCAGTGACTACCAACACTTTCTATGTAAGTAGGAGATTTATGGGGGCCCGCAAGCCCTTTTCCGTAGAGTGTAATCGGCCGTTTTAATTCTACGTAGAGCGTAGACGGACTGCTCTAATATTTTTGCGTAGAGCGTATTCGGCGTTTTAATTCTACGTAATGCGTTGTAGCCACTTGGAATTTATCGTAAAGCGTAATCAACAGGTTTCCGAATTCAGCGTAGAGCGTTGTCGGGACCCCCCCTTGCAGGCCCTCATTTATAGGACCAAGAGGGCTTGAAATTAAAGGTGGTCCAATGGCCACTGACCACTAGAATTTAGGCTGGGACAACTATAAAGACACTTTGACAATAAAAAATAGACAATAGAAAAGTAATCGACGTCAGAATGTCAGCCCTTTTTTGTTTATCAGGCATACGTCCCGGCTTTTGGATCCGGAAAAATCCCCCCGAATTTCCTGCCTACCCTGCAATTGCAAGTTGTTATCAAGTAGAAGTCATACAATATTTCTAAAAAAAAAACAGGTTGGGACAGTTCATCCTCACTCTGGGACAATTGAAATTTATTTTTGGGACAGTGCTGGGACAATAGGAAGAAAAGTTAATTTTGAGGCCTGACCCACATCTTCATTTTGAGATAATGGACCCTTCTTTTGTATGGAGAATATACAACCGTTACGGTAACGTTATGAGGTTATGATTAGCATAATTTTAACTTTTGACCTAATGTACCAGTCTAAAGGGCTCAGCTGCTTGTATGCCTTATCTCTCGTGATCAGATATGAATGGGGGGATCTGAGATGCTAGCCAGGCCAGGTGGACAGGCCAGGTAGCCTGGCCTAGCAAGCACCCAGGTTTTTCCGTAAACCCAGCCTTTAGACAATGATTTAGTGGTGCATTTGCAATTACAATTGGATCTGGCATTCTCACTGCCCATGCAGTAGTCATGTGACTAATTAATCTTTCTTTTCAAAACATCTGTCCCTTTCACCCATGTGAGAAACAGAAGAACAAACATCAGAATGAACGGGAGGCATCTGTCAACAGTTGATTGAACACGTGTGATCAGTTTGGTCAAGTGTTAATGGAGGTCATTTGGCAAATAACAGCACAGATTGGGAAGTGTTGGGTGGACGCCAGACTCATTTAGTTGGTTCAGAGATCATGTCAATTTGCCTCCCAAGGTCGAGGGACAATATTGCCTAGTAGTACAATTAATTCAGCAGCATTTTGCTACAATGGAGTGTTACAAGTTTCTTTTTTTTTTATTTTTGAAATTCAAGCTTGCTAGAACACTGTATGTGGTACCCTGCAGAAAAAATTAATTTCTCTATGTGTATTATAAAATATAATGTGTTTTAAAATACAGAATATACACTGACAACTTAGTCATTTCCTTACAATTAGAACAGAAATTTCTCACCAAAAAGACAATTGTTCAAACGTATTATGACATCCAGGAACTACAATGTAAATGAAAAACTATGTACTAGTAAATTTCTTCATGCTTGTTTTAAAAAGAGAGAAGAGATCTTGTAGATATGGACGTAGTGCAGTTGTAGCACTTGTACCTCAGTTATCTAATGTAGTACATTAATTTTGTATTATGGCCCATAGGGCATGAATATGTCATTTTCATCTATGTCCAGGGGATGTTGACCAGTGTGTGCAACTGACCGACATGGCCGGACTCCGGAACACCGAATGGCTGACCTACAACTGCATGCTAGGATATGTGGTCAAAGGTCAGCACATTTCTCGTGATCTATTGTTTGTGAAGGAATTTGCTGAGTGTGCAAGGAACGGTCTAGGGAGGAAAAAAGAGGGTAGGCAATCCAAAAGATCAGAAAGGGTAATATCAGTGAATGGATCAGCTGTGACTCAGAATGAAACATTTTAATGTTTAAAAGAAGAACAGAAAACAGTGGAGAAAACTGGTTGTCAGATAGTCTGTGGTACTTCAATGGTCTAGTAATTACTATACAATAGATTTTTTTTATAATAGACTGAGGAGAAGACAAAAAAAATGGGATTCTGGATATAAGATTTCCCCTAGGTATACTGTGTAAAGTCTGTTATCTTACAAAAGAAAGTTGGCCAGCATTCTCAAGAGGAATATGGGGTAACCATGGTAGTGTTTTCTTCCCGACATTGTGATGTAAAATCTTCTGTCATCCTATTATCTCTGACAAAAAGGCTCATCTTCAATTTATTCATTTTGCCACGACAATTGTGCAATTATGTTGCCTATAAGGACATTTTTCATAGATCTGTAGGGAGAACCCCAATGTACAATAACATATCATTACATATATGACAAATGATCTGATAAAGAGAACAAAGATCGACTGAAATAACAGTAGTCCACACTACATTACAGAGGGTCTGCATGGGGGATCCTGGTAACAGTAAATTTAGGAGGGCCCACAAAACTCAACTTTAAATTCAGGCAGGACAGTCATACAATGCTGCTTTGTGAATGACCTCAGTGGATTATTTGCATTTATGGGTGTCCTTCAAAACTAGTCCCCAGACCTTGGACACTCTTGAAATAATGGCTTGCTAGGCCTCTCAAAAAAAGGCATGCAGAACCTCTTCTACAGTTTCTCTTAAACTTCTGCATCTCAACTACAGAATGTGATACTACTGAATTATTCAACTGACTTACTCAACTTTAAAAAAAGTCTATTTGGGGACCATCAATATTTAATCCAGCCATCGACTTGTTAAAGTCTTGAATGTCAAGTCAAATATAGACAGGCCAGTCGAGCAGACAGCTGGAGACATCTGTTCCTAGGGTGAGACGTGCTCCCAAAATATCTGCTCATGAATTATTCTGGGGCTTGTGTTAGTAGACTTTTGGAATGCTGCCCGGCTGGACCGAATGGATATGTGGTTCAGGAAATAAGGCCACACCAATTTAATTTGTTGGTTCTCAGATTAAAAAAAAATGAAGTGACAGGGTGAAAAAATAGAAACAGGCCTTAGGCATCCTATTATGGCCCAAAATGGTACGATAGGAGCCATGAAGTCAACACACCAGGCTGGTTCAAAATTTAAACAATGAATTTTGAACTTTTAATGATACCACTGCATTAATAGATGGAAAAACTGTAATATACAGGAAGAAAAGGACTTTCCTCAACTGTTGGGGGCAAAATATGAGCATTTTTGAGTTGATTCAGAACCAGAATCTTTTTTTTTTTGCAAATCAGAAAAAAATGAAAAGGCGAATCCAAGAAGCAACAAATTAAATTGGTGTGGCCTTAAGTTATTTGAATTGAAAAAATACTGTATAGTGAATATAGGCTATAAGATTTTATCATCAAATGTTTGTCAAAACTACTGTTTCTGGTTTTGATTTTGTGATACCATACGTGTCTGGTTATAATGTTAGTTGCCATTTTTTGTTGTTTATCTATGTTAGAAATAAATTTTAATAGAGATAGACTTGAAAAATATTTAGTAAATATTTGTGATTGGGATAAATTTCACCTTAAGTTATGATTTTGGTTGATTTTTTTCACCTCACATTTTGATATTGAGGCGGTGCAAGGAGGTACGTTATTTAAAAAAAAGAACAGCTTTGAATGCTGTAAATTTCATTCAGAATACCAAGTTACTGTATGATTGACTATACAGCCTTTAGATTATCAAAGTAACAACATTGACTGAAGAATAATAGAATTAAGCCAAATAGGGAAAATACTGAGTGATTGTGGCATGTTGTGCGTGCAGACATTTGGAATGCAGGGCTGGATGGTCGGGACGTGCGGACACTCGACAGGGCACCCAACTGGAGACATGTAGGCACAGCTGACGAGAGAGGGGAGATCCACATGTTCACATACCCCTGCGCACACAAAGATGTAAGTATTGCCTTCTACACATTTGTACGTACCCCTGCCCACACAAGGATGTACGTGTACTTAGTGTTGCCGTCTACATCTTTCTCTACTAAACGGGGTCAGTGTTAACGTTGTAGCCAGTTTTACCTCTCATGACAGACAAAAATTTTGCCCAATCTGTCATCTTTGACGGACAAAAAGAACATGTTTAATGTGTACCGCTTTAAAAAATGTTAATACTGGATTTGGACAATGAAATTGCTGTAGTTACAGTTTTTTGTTTGAGGAATTTTGCTCAACTTTTGGCACATTTTGCATTGAAATGTGTGTTTTCTCAGCTGGGTATAGTACAAATACATGTAGACTAGTACTACTACAGGGTGTGTATGTATTCTACGTCACACTCAGTCCCAGTCCTCAAGCTGGTACCTTGAGTGACAGAATACACCATGTAGTACTCTATATTTGTCCTGCTGTTTTTCTTCAGGCACAAGCTGACACCTACAAGTGCCACAGTAGCCAGGTCAGCTGCCTGCGCTTCCTGCACGATAACATCCACCTGGTGACGGCTGGGGGGAAGGATACCAGCATCTTACTGTGGAAAATCACCAGTCAGTAACCGTGGCAACAGATCTGCAGTCAGTAACCATAGCAACAGGTTTGCAGTAACTGTGGCAACAGATCTATAGTAACTGTGGCAACAGATTTGCAGTCAGTAACCATGGCATCAGGTTTGCAGTAACTGTGGCAACAGATCTGCAGTCAGTAACCGTGGCAACAGATCTGCAGTCAGTAACCATGGCAACAGATCTGCAGTCAGTAACCATAGCAACAGGTTTGCAGTAACTGTGGCAACAGATCTGCAGTCAGTAACCGTGGCAACAGGTCTGCAGTTAGTAACCATGGCAATGGGTTTGCAGTCAGTAACTCTTGCAACAGATCTCCAGGCAGAAGATCCAGCTTTGCAGTAACCGTGGCAATAGATCTCGTCAGAATTCGTAACTGCAGATCTCCAGGCAGAAGCCGTAGCAACAGGTCTGCAGTCAGTAACCATAGCAACAGATCTCCAGGCAGTGACCATAGCAACGGATCTCCAAGTGAAACATAACAGACTTCTTAACATTGTGACAAATGGAACGATTTTATGATCAGCATTGAATTCAATCTATTGAGATTTGGTCATAAAATATACTAATATGTGGATATCAAAATACTAAATTGATAATATATTTATATTTGCAGCTGCTTTTAAGCATGTTTGTGTTGGAATGGTGCTCTCCTTGTGTGCTTGTGTGGATCATAAGCATTGTTTTGTCTAGTACATTTGTAGTGGCCTTATGTAATGATTCCAGATCTAGACATAACAGCACTTCAAACACAGGACCCTCGGAAAACAAGAATACCAAAGATGTAAAATAAAAGATGGACATTGGTGTATTTATATTCTGTGACTCTTAAAGGTGAACATTTGAGTGTAAATTTTGTTACATTTCTGTTGTTGCATGGTACAAGTTATTGTGATAACTTACGGTGTATATGTGGTATTTTAATGGGTGTAATATATGCAGTTTCAGAGTAAAGAATATACCTTTTTGTCTATTAGTAGGCAAATATTAAAGGAACTAACTGTAGCCTAAAGAATTGAATTTACGTTGTAACAAGTCATGTTAAGTCAGTGCTGCTTTGACTATGGGCTTTTTCAGCCTTGAAATGTACTGTAGTGTGATGTCATAGTGTCCACAAGATGAACTTTAGGCCACAGCAAGTAATTTTTATGGGTGACATTGGCGTGCGCATAATTTTCGGCTGATTTTGGGGGAAAAAACAAGAAATTTTGTTGCCTTCTGCCTCCTTCTGACAGTGGTCAACATGCCAAAAATGGGCAAAGATGGCAGATAACTGTGAAGAGAGGAGACAAGAAAAGACTCTGATCCAATGTTTTGTTTCTTACTTTGATGCAGTGATATGTGATGCTGGCTGTGTATATGTGATGTTCCCATGCACTGAATCAAAACCATTTGTACCATGATTGAGTCAAAATTTTTAAATGTAGGAACCTTGTTTTTTTTCGGCCCGCCTTGTTTTTGTTTTTTTGCCTGCTCACATTAGATTTGGAGTCTGCGGAGGATGTCATGATCATCCATAAAATTTACTTGCTGTGGCTTTAGTGGCTAAAAAAAGGAATGCCTGATATTTTGTTGCCATGTATAGACATATTTATTGGGTTCTGTCAAATGAGTGGTTGAGGTTTTGTTCATGTACATGATGGCTCTTTGACACTCAGAAACTAAAATGTGAAAAACTAGAAGTTGCATAGTACATTGTTGTACAAATTGCAAACTTTCGTCAATTTTACAGTACATTATATTGGAAGGTTGTGTTTTTTTGTTGTTGTAAAGAGATATAAGAAAAGTCATGTTTACTCCTGTGTTGCAATTTGGATGCTGCTAATTGTGAGGCCTAGGGAAAAAATGTTGTGTTTCCTGTTTCGGTCCTGAAAAAATAGGGTTGGTAGGTAGGGATTATCTTTTTTCTTTATTAGACTTTGGCAATCTCTAGTGATTGACCTTATTGGAAAACTGATTGTACAACGTTTCATTTCTCAGGTGTCAGATCATGGAGGTAGAAAAGCTCAATCACCTCAAAAAAAATTATGTCTCTTGCAGGAGTCCACCAAAAAAAAGCCTAGGGTCAGCAGCTTTTTCTAGGGTCGGTCGGGAAACACAACATTTTTTCCTAGACCTGAGCTTTAATTGTGCGATGTAACTAAGTCTACCTGTGGAATTAAATGTATTTTGTAGACGATTTCAAAACTGTGAATAAAATCTGAATTTTCAAAAGGTTTTGCAAGCTCTGTGGGGCTAGTTTACATTTTAATTGATATTCATTTTGCTGAGGAGACAGAGACTTGACAGATTAGAAGACCTCAACAAGTACAAGTAAGTACATTTTGCAATAAGTTTCCAGCTCTAAGGCCACACCAATTTAATTTCTTGGTTAATGGATTCGCCCGCTTAATTTTTTTCTGATTTGCAAAAAAAAAAAATTCAGAATAAACTGCAAAATGCTCATATTTTGCCCTAGACAGTTGAAAACAGTCCTTTTCTTCCTAGTTGTTACAGTTATTTCATCTTTCAATGCAGTGGTATCATTAAAAGTTCAAAATCCATTGTTTAAATTTGAACCAGCCTGGTGTGTTGACTTCATGGCTCCTATCGTACCATTTTGGGCCATAATAGGGTGCCTAGGCCTGTTTTTACTTATTTTTTTTTGCCCGCCTGCTCCATCATTTTTCAAGAAAAATCCGTTAACCAAGAATTAAATTGTTGCGGCGTAAGCTTTTGCCCTTGAGAATAGCGGAACAATGAAGAACACAAGACAAAGTTTACTCTGCTTCAACTTCTTTTATTGAAAGACACAAACAGCAGAGAATCTCCAGTTACAAAAGTGGCCTCGATTCAACATTTTGGCATCACATCACATCTTGTATCCATCCACTGTGGCCGGGTTGGTGAAAAAAAGAGTCCAGTCCGATCGGCGCAATATTGGACTGGACTGCTTTTTCCACTGATCGGACTGGACTCCTTTTTCCACCAACCCCACTGTGGCCTTTGAGGTAAAGAACATTCTAGGAAGACAATGACACAACCAGACACTACCTACTCTAGAACGTTTGTTACTGAACCAGTAGAAAATGCACAATCTACATTTTACATTCTCCATGTTCTCACTTTTGAAACATTATTGTTTTCAAACTTTTGATGTTCACAAAAACGTACATCATGATTTTAAAAAATTGTCATACCAGAAAATGGTATTCGGAAATGGGTCATGTTTTGAAAGACTTATAAAAATGGCTCAAAATTAAAAAACCCAAAATTAAAATCACGCATAACTAAAAAGTGCCACCAAAAATGAACAAAAACTTTCTCATTTGTGTAAGCACAATATTACAACATACACCATAAACGCAACAAAAGAAAATTCCAACAATGCTACAATTGGCATGAAAATCTCAGAACCTGACAACATATGTTTGTTTGTACGTTTGTTGTTGTGTTTACTGAATCTAGGCCTTTATACACTTGGGTGCAAGCATGAGAGGGAACTGGTAGTACTTGCACTCCTTGGGTGGCTGGTTAGTGATGCACTCCCACGAGATGTTCTCTTTCTTGAAGCCTGCCGCCTCAAGATGCGAGATCTGGGTCTCCTGTAGAAGAAGGTATTTAAGACATCTTAGAATTCTTCCTTATGTCTTGAAACTATAGTCGTGTCGCATTTGATAACCTTTTCTGGCACCTAAGGCCACACAGTCTTAATACTATGGATGACATCCTCTGAAGACCCCCAAACTAGTGCGTGAGGGCGAATAAAAAAATTCCGGCCAAAAAAAATGCTACCAAACCACAGGAATACAAAGCTGGTATTATGAATTTGCGGCAGTACATAGCGATGTATACTACAAGCCGGCACATGCTGGCTTTTTGTGGAATTTATGAATCGGCACTGTACGTATGTACTGAGTTCTTGATACGTGGAGCTTCGGTAGCCTGGGTGCCGTCCTCCAGAGTTACCACTGGCTCCGAATTGTCGCTAACTACCTTGGACTACCCAGGCCAGATCCTCGGAGGACTCAATCTTTTTTTTTTTTTGATAACCCTGGTACTTGACTATTTCTTGTTCTTGTCTGAGCTGGTATTTAGATGGTGTCTCTGCCATGCAGTTTATTAGCAGTATTGTAAACCACAAATAAATGCTCCTGACCTTGAACATGGTCTCGATGTTGTCGTATTTGCCCTTGAGGAAGTCTCCCCATGACGTGAGGTTACAGTAGGACAGGACTCCGCCGGGCTTCAGCAGGCGACAGGCGTGCTTCCCGATGAAGTCAAACTGGTGGGTGTGCCACTCTGCTTCTGACAGGGGGTAGGTGTCATACAGAATACCTGCAGGTCAAGATTTAATCTGCATTAGAAATCACCTCATTTGCATGTTCGTGAGATTTAAATGGTACCCTTACCAGCTGTTGCTGGTGTTGTGTCCCACACATAGAAACAAATACAGGGCAGACAATACTCATTTTTACTTGAGTTAAGTGAGGAAAGTTGTGTTAAGTGCCTTTCCCAAGGACACAAGATCAGTGACAAGGTGGGGTTCGAACCGGGGACCTCTTGGTTCCAAGCCGAAGACGCTACCGCTACGTCACACGTCTCCACGAGATAAATGTATTTTAGCACATTTGCCAACAATCTTATTTTTTGTAGCATTTGCAGGGCTGGACATACTGGTTGCATGTGCACCTTGTGGGTGCACCAGTGCACTCAAATATTTTTGTAGGTTTACATAGTAAAGATGTTGAAAAACCCTTGTCCTGCAGAGCCCAACAATTGTACCATCTATATAGCACCCTGTGTATGTATCACAAAACGAATGCGGAAGTAACTTTGCCACCGCAGGGCAAAAAAAGTCAGGGATCTATGACCTAATTAAGACAAGAAGTTATTAGAAAATATTGTGTAAAAAATGCCAGCAGGACAAGGGTTAATGTACGTGAAGTATACGGCATATTCTTGAAATCTAATGTTAGAAAAATAATATGGTTGCAGCCTTACCATCGAAATGTCCGTCAGGCAAAGTACCCACAACATCCTGCCACATGCCCTTCAGGGGAACAATCTGGAAAGGTAGAAGAGAGTCATACCAAAGACTTTAGAAAGACCATTTGAGAAAGAGTATGGGAGTTAATCACACACCGCTACCAGTGGACTAGCCCCCTGCTGCAGTGATTGCACAACTGTGTGGCCCAAGGGCTACGAAATTGAAATGGGCGACCCCATATGCGACCATGCTATAGCTAATGGTTGCGGGAGGGCTTTTAACTCTGAAATTAGCAGTCATATTGAACAATATGCATTATATACTTCCTAGAGGTTTGGAATCTGAGATTGCTTGTTTTTGAACATTAGCTACTTAATCTTGGCGGTAACTAACCTTGTGCTTTTTTTCCCTTAATCTATACTAATATTCGCATATTCACAATTGACAAGTTTGCAGATGTCAGTGAGATAACTTTGCTAAACTGCATCTATCTACCAGATACAAGTACATCGAAAAAAAGTCTAGAAAAAAATCAGTCCTTACAGTCCAGTCTTGCGCAGCTTGTAACTCACATGTACAAAACTGTATGTGTGTTACCCCTAAAAAGGCGGTTTACCGGGTATGCGAAAAAACTAACCTTGTGCTTCTGCTCCTTGGCCCACTTTTCTAGTCTCTCGAAAACCCCGTCGTTACACTCGATGATCCAGTGTTCCTCGATGTTCTGTCGTTCAATCTCGCTGCCAGCGATCGCCATGCCGAATCCGATCTCGAGAACGCGTCCACCTAAACAAACAACAAAAATAGAGAGATCTAAACAAACAACATAAACAGAGAGATCTAAACAAACAACAAAAAGAGAGACAATTAACTTAGCCTTTAACTTAAAATTTAAGTGGTAAGGACTAATAGAATTATCAGTATTTCTGGCAACACATATATTTTATAATATTGGCATGTAATACATGTAGTTAGGTAACTCAGAAATAGAATAAGTAATTTTATTATTTGGAAACATCTTGGTCTGAATAAAAGAAAAAATTCTGGATTGTTTGACTTCTTCCTACACAAGTAGATCATTATGGTACTAGTAAGGTTTGCATTATCTAAAACATTTTTAGGTAGCAGGGAGAATTAAAAATATTTTCAATATTTCAATTCCCAGCAAAATCAGTGGCCTCATTCAAACCCTTTTCGTCTATTGGCCACTCTAGGCTAAAACTCTGATTTCTTAATAGATCACACACATCCATACTGGGCATATCGGAAACCATTCTTTCCGCTATGATCATTCAAGGTCACTTTGACCAGCTGAGTTTTACATTGATCCTCTGGGTCTTGCACTAAAAAAATCAATATGGTCCTCTAAACTATCTATCATTATTTCTTTTATACCTCATTGGTGTCAAAAATCAATGTAGCAAACAAAAATCTACATATATACACTTGTACATGTACATGTACATACATGTAAACCCAGTACATGGATTGGTGCAGGTTTATAAATAGAAATCTGTATCTGTATAGCAGGTATAACCGCCCTTCGGCGTAACACACCAGCTTCTGTATCTGTATAGCCGGTATAGCCGCCCTTTGGCGTAACACACCAGTTTTATCTGCACTAGCCTTCAAATGCAGGTGGGATTTCCAGTCCGATCTAGCCCGGACCAGTTTGGACCGGTTCAGTAAAACATGATGACTTTGAAGCCTGATTTTTGGGGGCAGGCTGTTAAGGATGATACAGTACCACCCTGCTAAGTAAGACTTATATAGCCTTCTATAGCCCGATGATCTAATCACACTCAATGTGGCATACCAAATGTAATGTGTACAGATGTCATTCATTTTACTTAACTTTCCGTTTGTGAAAGAAGAAATATAAATTTATAAAAATTACAGGTCATAATGGGTAAGCTAAGATCAATATAGGCTTCAATTTCTCTCTTCAGGACCATAAAATTGCCCATGCGTAGTTATTTGGGTACAAAATGTCATCTGGGAAAAAGCAAGCCTTCTTCAAGAAATTATAATAGTTCAGTTATTTTCGTGGTGGGCTTTAATCTCCAAGCAGATCCTAGGGTGGCAAATTGGGTGGCGAATTGGATACTGCCTGGCCAATTTGATACCGTCTTTTTGCCACCCTAGGATCTGCTTGGAGATTAACGAGGGTTATGGATAATAGAATTCAGCAAAAAAGGGAAGAATATTTGGCCAGGGTCAGTCTGGTCATTGAGTGGTCAATATTTGGTCAGTCTGCGGGAGGGTTAATTTGTCCGTCCAATGGACTATATGGTGGCTAATCTCCCCAGGTCAATAATTAGCCTTATTTGGCTAAATTAAGTCTTTTTAAGATTAGTAGCATGTTGGCCCTAGAGCTGAAGAGCTGGCCTGTGTAGGCCCTCGAAATGTCTGGCTTCTAGGCTAGTTTTTCACACTCTCCCCTCTCCTGTGGTAATATGTTTACATAGCCTCTACCAGGCTTCAGGAGGCAGCTGGAAAGAGCAGAAATCAACCAAATAGAGGGATAGCATTCCAGGGGAGTTGGTCCACTAGACTAGAGAGTACAGTTTGCCTCTATTTGGCCAATTTCTACTCTTTCAAGCCACCTCCCAAAGCCTAGCCTCTACCAGGCTTCAGGAGGTGGCTGGAAAGAGTAGCACCCAGCAAAGACCCTGTTCATACTAGACTTATATTTAGCGGTTTCAACCGGTTTTTCAAAAACCGGTTTTTATTTAACCTGGTGTGAACGCAAATTAACCGGTTTTTTAGGGGTTTAAATCCGATTTTGAAAAACCACCTCGGGAGGTGGTTTTTGAGGGGTTTTTGTGGGGTTTTTCCACCGAAAAACCTGGTCTGAACGCTAAGGGTTTATTATACCGGTTTTTGCGTCAAAATTCCGGGGTCACGGGGTCAGCATCCTGACCGTGTGCGACCTGCAAGCTTTTTGGATCGCGTTGTTTTGACCAATTTTGAGTTCGTTTCCACTGTTTTTCCATGGTTTCTCTTCTGAGCGCTCCTGAGGAGAGCAGGAGTCGCCGAA